TGTAAGTTCAAACGGGTGTAGACCATGTAGTGACACAACAAGGCAGCATGGGATCAATTTATCACAACTATAACCCCAAGCAACCTAGGAATAATGAAATAAAGACAAAATCAAACAGCTCAGCTAAGAAGAGCAAAGCCAATCACAGCATGTGCTATTAGGAAAATAATTCATTTCCACTATGACTAACACGGGGACAACACACTATTAAAGATAAGAAAAAAAGCACTAAGAATAATTGAACATAACATGAGGACTGTCAAGATTGGATGCGGAAATGACAAGAAATGTGGAAAGAAAATTGCTAAAAAGCAAAAAGCTGAGCAATACTTACAACAGGATCAGGCGCATCATCTTGCTTGCACATGACCCATGGGACACCTGTTCCAAGACCCAAAGCCATTTTAGCTGCCCACTGAGTGTAAGCTTTGCCAGGCTCACCAATTTCATACTCCATGGGTCCGTATTCATTTTCAATCTGTCCAAATCATGAATATACATGAGATACTCCTAACAAGGAAAACTTAAACCAACTATTTGCATCCAGAAACTGACAATGGTGAACAATCTGACCACCTGAGATAGAATTATAGGACCTCCTTGAGACTCAAACAGCCGTTCAGCTTTCATCATATTGACAATCTTCTGTGTGAATCTTTGCATTTGTTCCTTCATCAAAGGAATTAGATATTTGAATAACAAAATAGAAATCAATTATAGTTATTTTAATAGCTTGAATGAAAATGAAAAAAGAGTCAAATATATAGAAGGAAACTTCAGGTGAGAGAATGCAAAGTGCGTCACCTTGAAAGGGCCATTATCTGTTCTGAAACTGATACCTGGAACGTATTTCAGCCAAACAGGGAAACCACTGAAAATAAAATAGAAAACATTGCTTAAACGACACTAAACTGGGAAATTTTTTCTATATTTAGAAATTAAAATATTTTAGCATTACCCGAAGTTCCACTCAGCACAAACATAAGGTCCAATCCTCAGATGAACATAGAGCCCCGCTTCCTTCACTAGCTTGATAAATTTGACTAGATCATAATTCCCTTCAAAATAATACTACAAAGACCAAAAAATAGACAGAAAGATCAGGGGTTTCAGACACCAAATATAAGCATTGTGGAAAATGTAAAATATCAACACTGCTCATTACTTTGCCAGGGGAAGTCTCATGTCCATTCCAAAACACATATGTCTGAATCACATCTAGCCCTCCTTCCTTTGCCTTCTGTACAAGATCTGGCCACATCTGCGGCACCCAAAGACCCAAAATCAGAATCCAAAAAAATTGAAAATTTCCCAAATGCATTTATCTGTCTGCAAGCACAAATGAAGAAAATCTAGAGGTACCCTGATGAAGAAAAGCATCAAAGAACTGAAAAAGCTTGGATTTTTGAAGAAACGAGAAAGACCCACGAAGCACATTTTGCAGAAAAACAAAGCACAAATTACCTCCGGTGTGCTTCTTGGATAGTGAATAGATCCAGAAATGAGGATCCTCCTCTGCCCATTAATGGTGATAGCCTTACTGTCATAGGACACGGAAGCAGAAACAGAGCAAATCCAAGAAGCAAACAGAACCCCTAAAACCACATTCCCCATTACAAGATTCCCAAGACTCATGGCCATTGAAATCCAACAATGACCACACCCTCTTGGGTCCTCAAAGCAGTGTGCTTTTCACCTTATTATTTCTCCCCTTGCCCACTTTATTCTATTCTTCTTTATAGAGAGAAAAAGAAAGCAAGGTTTGAAAGAAAGAAAAACAAGTAAACAACAGCCAGTTGTTTAGGTCTGTAGGTTTGGTCCTTGAAGCCTCCTTTTCCTTCCCAGTGGAAAATATGAGAAAACGAGGGAAAATGAGAAACCAAGGGAGTGTGAATTGTTGATTATTGTTACCACCGCCGTGGCTGTGGCGTAGATGAATGAAATTGGTTCCTTATGCCATAAAATGAAGGTGCTTTGCAGCTGCTTTTAAACACTCATAACTCACTCAAGCATGGAGGGTTTGACAGTGATATGTGGGGACTACCTAAGGCATTTGGACCCCACCGTTTAGCCTCATCACACACTCCCTCTGTCGTGTTGTTTCAAATTTTCAATCCAATACATAAATAAACAACACTTTAATTATTTTTCATGTTTTTTTTTTTCTTTTTGTTACTAACAGCGGTGTGTATTATATTAAATTTTAATTAATTTGAGATAAATTAGATTAAATTTTATAAGAAAAAAATTTATCTCTGTATATTTTTTTATTTACAAAACTTAAATTAAAAATTTTATTTTTAAAGAATCGAGTTTTAACCGCTCAATGACAAGTAGTTAGTATTTTTCATGTTTTTTATTTTTATGGAAATGGAAACTCAAATTATGTATTTTATGTTCATTTTTACGTCATAGCTGAGCGTTTTGCGGTCGGACGTAAAACATTTTTTTATTTAATAGTAGATTAGTGATTAACTATAATAAACCTAAAGGCGTGTTTGGCGGTGCATACAATTGATGTGTTTTGCTTCTTCTTCTTTTTTTTATGTATTTGATAATAATAAATTATATAAGATGAATAATTCCCCTCTTTTTTTTTTAATTTCTCCCACTAAATTCAAATTTTAAAATTAAAATTTTTAATTTTTAATTTTTAATTATTAAAATACCCTTCAAAAATAGTGTTTTGTAGTACTTGTTGTTTTCAACATACAGATTCTGTGGAGGATCCCTACAAAATCGGCTGATGTTTTATCCTTTTATTTTGTTTGGATATTTTAAGCACGCTCGCATCATTGTGCGTGAGCGTGAAGAAGCGTGAAAATAAGTAAATTGTGTAAATAAAAATAATGGGGGTGATGTTGATGGAGAAAAGAAAATATTCCGATAAAGGTACAAATTTTATAATTTTTATTATTTAAAAATATAAATTTTTTAAAATTTTAAATCAGTTAATAAATCTTTATTTTT